ACAATTTCATTTTGGTACAGTGACTCTTTGTATTCCTTCCATCTTTTTTTGATGCTTTCTGAATCATTCAATATTTTGACCATAGAGTCCTCAATTTGGCAAGTCGAGGCTTGAATTTTTTTCTTACATTCCCTCAGCTTGAGGAATGCTAAGCTTGTTCTTCCCTTTAGATTTTCTAACTCCAGGTCTTTGCACATTTTGTTATAATATTTGACTTTTTCTTCTCAAGCTGCCTCTTGAAATTTTCTATTCAACTCTTTTATCTCCTAATTTCTTCCATTTGTGTTAGCATCTCTATGCTACAGAGCAAGTTTCAGAGTATCTTCTGACATCCATTTTGTTCTGTTCCTTCTTACTTGTCTTCTTAATGACTTTTTGCTTTCTTCTTGTATGGTGTTCTTGATGACATCCCACAACTCTTCTGGTCTTCAGTCCTTAGTGTCTAATGCATCAAATCTGTTCTTGAGATGATCTCTAAATTCAGATGGAATATATATGTTCAACATCATATTTTGGCTCTCCTGGACTTGTTTTAATTTTTTTCAGCTTCAGCCTGACCCTGCATATGAGCAATTGATGATCTGTTCCATAGTCTGCCCTGGCCTTGTTTTAGCTGATAATTAGGAGTTTTTCTACTTTCTCTTTCCTCAGATGTAGTCAGTTTGATTTCTGTGTATTCCATCTGGTTAGGCCCAGGTGCATAACCATCTTTCATGTTGTTTAAAAAAGGTATTTTCAATGAAGAAGTCATTGGTGTTACAAAATTTTATCATGCAATCTCTACATGTAGAGGTGGCCATATTTATAAGGTATAAGGCTAATTAACAACATGTGACATGCAGATGACACAGCTTTGCTTGCTAAAACAAAGAGGACTTGAAGTCCTTACTAATAAAGATCAGAAACTACAACCTTCAGTATGGATTAAACAACATAGAGAAAACATGAATCTTCACCACTGGAAAAATAAGCAGCAACATGAAAACTCAAAAAAATACCGAAGTTGTCAAGGATTTCCTTTTACTTAACGCCACAATTAACACTGGAGTCCAGCTATGGTACTGTAAGATAAGCACTGGACTGCTAACCACAAGGTTGGTAGTTCAAACCAATTGTTCTTTGGAAACCCTATACAGGGTGAACACAAATGGAAGCAGCAGTCCAAGAAATCAAATGACATATTACATTGGACTAATCTGTGGCAAAACCCTTCTTTAAAGTGTTAAAAAGCTAAGCGGTCACTTTAAGGAGTAAGGTATTCCTGACCCAAGTCATGGCAATTTCAATCCTCTCATATTTGTGTGGATTCCTGGTGTGGCACTGTGGGTTAATGCGCCAGACTGTAAAACTGCAAGGTCAGCGGTTCAAGCTCACCAGCTGCTCCTTAAGAACCCTATACAGGGTCACTATGGGTAGGAATCGACTCGACAGCACTTAACAACAACGACATGTGAAAACTGGATAATGAATAAGGAAAACCAAAGATGTGTTACATTAGAGATTGGCAAAGACTATTGAATATACAAAAAACTGCTAGAGAATAAATCTGTCTTGAAAGTACAATCACAATGTTCCTTAGAGACAAGGATAGTGAGACTTCACCTAATTACTTCCAAGGTTTTATGTGCTAAAGAAGGACATCATGTGTGGTACAGGATCAGCAAAAACGAGAAAGGCCCTCAACAAGCTGGACTGTCACAGTGGCTCCCCCTGTAGTAACTGTGAAGAAGGTACAGGACTAGATAGCAGTTCAGTCTGGTGTATATAGTAATAAGGTCAGTACAAATTAGAATCAAATCAACTGCATCTAAAACAACCTAACAAGTCCTCAGGTCATTTTCCTATTATGTTAAGCTAAGTTTCTAATTTGATTCTGAACCTAACTTTGCCTAATTTTGGCCTTTTCTAGGAACGTAACCTTGTCTAGTTTTTCCTTTAAATTTCATATAAATGAAACTTTTTAGTATGATCTTTCATATTTGCTTTGATGCAACTTTTTGTATATTCATTCATGCAGTTGCATGTTGTAGTTAAGCGCCATCAATTCAGTACCGACTCATAGTGACCCTATGTACAACAGAATGAAGCACTGCCCAATCCTGGACCAACCTCACAATTGTTGCCACACTTGAACCCACTGACGGTGCCACTTTGCCAATCCATCTCACCAGAGGTCTTCCTCTTTTCCTCTGACCCTCTACCTTACCAAACATGGTATGTTCTCCAGAGACTGGTCCCTCCTGACAATATGTCCAAAGTATGAGAGATGAAGTTTGGCCATCCTAGCCTCCAAGGAGCACTTTGGATGCACTTCGTCCAACATAGATCTGTTTGGTCTTCTGGCAGCTCATGGCACTTTCAATACTCTCCTCCAACACCATAACTCAAAAGCATCAATCCTTCTATGGTCTTCCTTATTCACTGTTCAGCTTTCACGTGCATATGAAGTTACTGAAAATACCATGGCTTGGATCTGGTGCACTTTAGTCTTCAGACTGACGTCTTTGCTCTTCAACACTTTAAAAAGGTCTTGTCCAGTAGATTTACCTAATGCAATACATTTGATTTCTTGACTGCTGCTTCTGTGAGTGTTGATGGTTGATCCAAGATGAAGTCCTTGACAACTTCAGTCTTTTCTCCTTTGATAAGAATGTTGTATATTGGTCCAGTGGTAAGGAGTTTTGTTTTCTTTACATTGAGATGCAAACCATACTAAAAGCTGTGGTCTTTGATCTTCATCAGTATTTTAAGTCGTCTTCACTTTCAGCAAGCAAGCAGTTGCATATAATGCAAAAAATCCAGTTTTGGAGTCAATTCTTACACGCATAGATGACTATAGGACAAAGTAGAACTGCTTCATAGAATTTTTTATGCTGTAAATCCTTACAAAAGCTGACTGTCACATCTTCCTAACATTTTTTTTTTCTGTTTTATTGTTGTATTCCATTGCATGAGTTTACCACAGATTGTTTATCCATTCACCAGTGCTTTTCTTGAATCTACTGAAACACTCATATAGGTTTTTCCTTTTATTCTATTAACATCATGAACTACACTGATCGATTTTCAGATGTTAACCTAATTTTGCATTTCCAGGATAAACTCCAGTTGATCACAATGATTCTCGATTCTTCTTCTTAAATGTTGGATTTGAATGACCGAAGTTTTTCAGGAATTTTGTGTCTATGTTTACAAAGGATATTGGTTTGTAGCTTTCTCTTTTGAGGTCTCTCACTAGTTTTAGTTTCATAGTAAAACTGGCTTTTTAAAGATAGTTCGTTTCTGCCTTGACTGTTAAAATGCTTTGCAAAACTTTTAAGAAACAAATCAAGCACAAAATGTGGCATTGTGGACCCTGTGCCTGATCAACAAAATGGCATTGTCACTACCCCCAAGTAGCACTGAATAAAACAAGTCTTTATTACACCTAGAGACTCCCCACCCTTACCCCCACCCCTGCTTTCGGCCTCCCCCCTCAATTTTAGGTTTCAGGAAAAACTCCATAACCCCACCCATTGAAAACTCGCCAGAATTGCCAGAATTGTACCCAGGACCACATGGCCTTGCCTTAAATACCCCAGTCTGTAAGAATCAGGCAGGCTCTTGGTCTCTTTTTTTGGTGACTTAGAATACCCCCTCCCAAGTTTACTCTTAATAAACCTGCCTGCTTTTGAAGCCAAGACTCTCTCCTCCTTTCTTTTTTATTTCTTACAGTGGGTATCATTTAAATATATTTGAAATATAAAATAATCGGTACATTGTCCCCCTAATTTCCATAGCAATCATGGCCTATTCATCTTCAAGGCTAGCTTGAAATTGGCTGAATTAGAGTGAATTGTAATCACAGATTTCTGGAAAATTAGAGTTAAGCAATTTTAGAGACTATGGTGGTGGTAGAGTGCCGGGGAGTCAGTTCTAAACCATAGCAACCCTATATAGGATTTCTGAGGCTTTAAATTTTTACGGGAACAGAAAGCTTCATCTTTCTCCCCCAAACAGCTAGTAGTTTCAAACTACTGGCCTTGAGGTTAGCGAACCAACTCATAACCATTACGCTACCAGAGACTATAGTCACTAGATATCTAGAGGAGGAAATGGAGACCCTTAGAAATTGCTAGACTCTTCCAGAACTGAGTACCTTCCCATCGCTTATAGACCTCCATCATGTAACATTTATTACCAGCCTTTATGAGTAGCACAAGTATCAAGTGCCTTCGTGTACATACTCACTTTATAAAGTTAATATGTTCATCCTTAATCTTTGTCCTGCCTAGGCCGGCCTATGCTGTTCTTACCGACACAATCCAGAAGTGCAGCGGCAAAACAATAAAACTTCACGTTTGTGTGGCCTGGGGGTTACAAGTTGAACCGGGCATGCTCAGTCGCCGGGCAGATTTTTCGGTGAAGTGGAAACTACAACTGGGCTAACAGTGCGCGCGGAGGTGGGAGTGTCCTCGTGGAATTTAGAACGTTACGGTGGCCAATGGGGCCTCGCTGCCGGCTGTCGAGGCTTCTCATAGGAGGAGTGGAGAGGCGAGCGAGTACAGGGGCTTGGAGTGAGCTAAGGAGGTGCGGGTCGGGGAAGGCCAGGCTAAGCCGTGCCCTGCGCGTGAGCAGCTACAGTGGTGGTGGCAGCATCCAGAGGCGGCAGCAACAGTTCCAGCCCGTTGCTTTACTTTTTGCTGTACGAACACAGTCATCATGCCGAAGAGAAAGGTAAGACTTACCAAAAGAGATTTCAAAGGCCTTTAAAAATTGTATTTACAGCAAATCCTGCCATTGTAATGGATTGCGCTGAATGTGCGTGTAGTAAAATGGATCCTCTTTGCTTCTCCACACTTGTTTTCAGATGTCTGTTGCAGGCATTTCTTCTTCCCTCCCCTAACCCCCTCCGTCCGCCTCGATCTCTAACTATTACTTTCTCAAAGCGACACGGCTTTCCCTCTTTATGAACTCATTCTCCCTGGAATGGTTTCCACCTCTTACGACAAGAACCACCAGAGGCTTTCTATTCCCCCTTCTAAGAGGGAAGTTCCTCTTTGCAAACTGCTAGGCTTTGGATAAGTAGAGGGAAAACAGCGAGGGGGTAAAAACAAGTAAAAGCATAGGGAGATGGGGAGGGGTAGGTGGGCGGAGGCGCAAATAAATCGGGCAGATGTTGGCAGTTATTCCCATGTGGGCTGTGCCCACTACTGGGTGCGCCGTGATGGCCATGAAGCTAAGGGAGAGAGAGGGAAAGCCATGTTTAAAACAGCGCTCACTCTCCTGATCCCCTCCGTGGCTGCAGACCCGTATGTACCAACTCAAGTGTCAATCAAGATTGGGGTTGGCGCGGGCGGAGCCCCAGCGGCCTGGACCTGCCCGCTGATCTCCGCGGGAGCCACGGAGTTGGCTGCCGGGAAGATGGGACGGCGCCCGTGGCTCTTACTGTGGCGGCTGCACTGCAGGGCCCGCCACCTCCGCCCTGGCGGTTTGAATCCACTCTGAAGTCGGGAAGGCGGGGTCTGCGCTCTCCTGCACCCCTCTGCGTGTAGAGGGGACTGGGGTCATTTTAGTCACGTCTTCTGCCCTTTGCAGACTGTTCCCCCTTCTTTGTGGCCCAGCAACCACGCACGGGAAGGTATTCCTCCCTTGGGGTAGACAGCGACTTGTTATTGTCCCAGAGAAGGAAGAGAAGGAGGCACTCCATGCAGAGAAAACCGTCTTGTGGCGGCTGGTTCCCTACGTAATGTTGTGCATCCTCCTAACCACCTTCCCCAGTATTAACCAGTCTGGGAATTCAGTTTGAAGCATACTTACAAATAATATACTGCTTTATTGGCTAAAGTGTGGTCTAATTTATGTGTGTGAATGAATGCATTATTATAAAATATTTAAGTTTTTTAAGTTCAAAAGATTTTCCTATTTATCTGCCTTTACTAAGAATTTGTTGGAAACTTGTCTTCTATCCACTTTCTAAAAAGGGTAATAATTAGAACTGTCTTAAAAATCTTATAGTTTATGGGTGCCTGGGTTGCACAGACCATATAGCCCTGGACTAACAAACTAAAGGCACCTGGGGGCGATACAGGAGATTTAGCAATCTGCTTCTGATAAATCAGCCATTGTACACATGGTTTATCATAAATCAAAATCGACCAGAGGCCAACTGCTGTTTTTTGTTTGTTTTTGTAAATGTAGTGTATTGTGCACATGTACTGTGTAACAAGTGTGACTTTGAATATCTTATTCATTCCTCAGAACACCTTGACAGGTTATCATCATTGAACTGGGAGTTAGATGAATTGTCCAATATCTCAACAGGCTAATACTATTAGGAAAGATTTAATCCGATGCTGTATATACTAAAGTCCGTATTCTCAACCATTCTCTTCGTTTAGTAGTGGGTCAAGAAGAGTTTAGGAAATTCAGAGATTCCTATCCTAAGAAGATAAACGGCATATTAAGGACATTAATACTTTAAATGTATTTAAACTTAATTTTCATAAAAGAACTGTAGTGGAATGAGGATATTAAAATAATGTGATCTTTTTCAGTATTTTCTCTGAGGGTTAAGGACTCGTAGAGTCAAATCTTCAAGGTTATAGAGGTAAGTGAGTTCCTGGGAATTACTATCAAAAGTTTAGATGAACAGTAAATTAAATGTGTATTCTTTATATATAATGGTACCTGAGACAGTGGATTAGGAGGTATTGGACTGCTAACTTCAGGGTTGGCAGTGCAAACCCACCAGCCACTCCACGGGAGAAAGATGAATCTGTTGTCTCCTATAAAGATTTCCAGTCTCAGAAACCCTATATAGGGTGGCTAGGAGTCAGAATTGACTTGATGGCAGTGGGGACGTAGTAGAACCAATTCTTTCTTGTTATTCAAGAGCTAGAGTTGGTGAAGTGATTACCTCTTAATTTCCCCACTGTCCACTACTTTCATGGAGACATAATTATGATTTCATTTCCCTTTGAATAAACTGGCCAGGCTTCCTGGGCCTTGAGACACATCTGTGTACCAGCACCTGTGTGTCATCCATCCCTCAGGACATCAGAAAATGTCCATGATTAATAGGAAAATATATCATGTATACCTGGAGCTCAAAGTCCTGAGTTGATACCTGGACAGGAGCAACAACAAATTAAACGTGGCTATCCTTGGAAATGCTAGACAGAGTCGTTGCTGTGAGTAGGAAGCAACTCAACGGCACTTAACAACAACAATCATGACCATCCTATGTTTCAGTCAAACCTTGGAGACGTCTCATGGAATGCTGGAGTTCACTAGGCTTACATGGGAACCACTGTCATTAGGTATAGTCTCTCTTCCAAAGAAAAGATCCTAGGACGCATTCATAGGTCTTCAAGATCTGTAATGCAGGGGTAACTGCCAAAGCATTTACATACTACTACACAATATTTTTCATGACTAAAAACTGAAAAGTAAACATTTTAATAAGTTTTAAAAGCACCCCACAATGTGGGGTTTTTTTTTTTTGCCATCTCGGCCCCTTGTTTGTACCTTTTTGCAGAAATCAAGAGTGATTATTTAAAGAGTAACAGAGTAAGCTGTTGTGCAGAAATAAAACCAATAACATCTAGAGGCCTCTTGTTGTTAAATGTCATGAGTTGGTTCCAGCTCATAGCAACCCTGTATAGGCTTCCCACTGAGTAAATAATGGGTATGAACTGCTGACCTTGGTATTAGCAGTCCTGTATTTATCCTACAGAACCGCACCAAGACTCCTCTAGAATCCTTTTGTTCTACTTCTTAAGTGCTGTCAAGTCCATTCAGACTCATAGCAACCCTGTATAGGATCTGAGGCTATAAATCTCCGTGGGAGCAGAACGCCTCACTCATCTTTTTCCCACTCATAGCAACCCTGTATAGGGTTTCACAGGCGCAGCTGGTGGTCTCAAACTGCTGATCTTGTGGTTCGAAGCCCAGTACTTAACCCTAAAGAACCATAGTGCTCCCTCTAGAGTCCTGTTGTTGTTGTTGTTAAGCGCTGTCAAGTCAGTTGCAACTCACAACGACCCTGTGTAGGGTTTTTGAGGAGCAGCTAGTGGGTTTGAACTTCAGACCTTTTGATTCTCAGTCCAGTGTTGATCCACAGCACCACACCAGAAGTCTTCTAGAGTTCTTGTTGTTAAATGCCATCAAGTTGGTTCTGACCATAGCAACCCTGTGTAGGATTTCTGAGGAACATCTGGTAAGCTTGAACCACCGACCTTGTGGTTCAAACCAACTTTGCAGTCCAGTGCATTAACCCACAGCACCACACCATACAGAGTCCTAGCACTGTTTAAAAACCACAGGGATACACAATCTGTGCTCACACAGCTTCAATTTAATTCATTGCTCTTATGGAAATTATAAGGAGCTCTGGTAGCGCAGTGGTTACGAATCGGGTTGAGAATCTCATGGTCAGCAGTTCGAAACTACCAGCTGTTCCACGGGAGAAAGATGAGGCTTTCCGCTCCCGTAAAGAATTACAGCCTCGGAAACCCTGTACAGGGTCGCTATGAGTCGGAACTGACTCCACGGCACATAACAACAACAACAACAACATGGAAATTATGGAGTCTTGGTGTGGCACTGTAGAACAAACACTGAACCTTAAGGTCAGTTTGAACTGCACGATAGGTGCTTCAAACTTACCAGACACTCCTTGGAAACCTCAGTCAGGGTCGCTATGAGTCAGAACCGACTCGACGGCACTTAACAACAACAATAATGGAACTTACCCAAGTTCTAGTGTGGTGCTATAGGATAATCACTGGACTGGTAACCTCAAGTTTGGCACTTCAAATGCTCCTCGGAAACTATGAGTTTCTGTTTGTCAAAACCAACTTGACAGCATTTAACAACAACATGGAACATAAATATAATTTAATTAAAAATTCACTGCCGTCTGGTTGATTCCAGCTCATTGAAACTTTGAGACTAAATCTCCACAGGAATAGAAACTCATCTTCCTCCCACAGCACCGCCAGGGCTCAGTTAGGTGTTATAAAACAATGAATAACATTACAGTGGTTTGTATTTTATAGAATATTTAGGCGCTGTGGGCTAATGCGTCAGACTGTGAAGTCGTTTGAACTGCAAGGTCGGCGGTTCAAGTTCACCAGCTTCTCCTTGGAAACCCTAATTGACTCAACGGCACTTAACAACATAGTGTATATTCTAAAATCTAATATTTTCCTGCTCTATACTAGGATGAAGGAGCTCTGGTAGCGTAGTGGTTACGTGTCAGACTGCTAACCTCATGGTCAGCCGTTCGGAACTACTAGCAGTTCTGCAGGAGAAAAATGAGGCTTTCTGCTCCCATAAAGATTTACAGCCTCAGAAACCCTATGCACGGTCACTATGAGTCAGAATTGACTCCACGGCACACTACCACCACCACCACCATACTAGGATGAGGTCCCTAAGTGGTACAGATGTTTGTTTTGTGTTAGACTACTAACTAAAAAGTTGGGGGTTCATACCCACCCAGAAGTATTGTGGAAAAATGTCCCGATGATTTGTTTCCATTAAGGTCACAGCTAAGAAAACTCTTTGGGGCAGTTCTGCTCTCTAACACATGAGGTTACAATCAACGGGAATCAACAGCATGCCAACAGGGCATTTATAGTCTAGGACTGATAAGCAAAAAAGGTTGGATTCGGGATGGTCCTGTAAGTTGGTTCTGACTCATGGCAATCCAATGTGTACAGAGCATACTG